ACCCATTAAAAAAACCCTGCCTACGCTATCGGTAAACGATGACAAGTAAGAGATGAGAGGGAAGGATGAGATCAGATCCGTTAGCATATCGTGTCGAATTCATCAAGAATTAACCACGATGGTTTCACGTCGACTTGACTGACCTGCTACATTGCTACCAATGGGTATTATAGTTCCCGCTACTAAAAATACCCTTCCCTCCTCATGGGGTCTTTATGAGATCTTTCATAAACCTTGGTTTCTGATCCAAGTACATACATAAAAAGCATTCGACGATCTCCATGATCCTGAAGTAGGCACATTGCTTTGCGTCAATGAGGTTGAGGGTTCGATTCTCAGGCGGGACAATTTAGGAAACTGAGTTGAGAAAACTTCCTAAATTCTTCAAATTGTCAGGTAAGAAAAAAATTAATTAAACAAACTACATTTAGATGGAGTATGAAGGCCAAGATTTTCAATTATATCTTTAGCAACACAAGTGTGTGAAAACGTCTTTTATTTCCTACCTTTAACATAAATTTTTCCTCAGTATTTCCCATGTAGTGGCATTTTTTTTAATGGATGCCATACCATTATGGTATGGTAACCCCACCCGCGCTATCGGTATACACCGGCGGGGCACCAGTGAAGGATGATATGTGAGGATGAAGCAGGTCAGTTAGCCCATCGTGACAATTTCAACAAGAATTGTTCACGATGGTTTCCAGGGGGAACCACACTAATAAGGTATATTACTAGCAATGAGGCTATCAAACTCCATTGGTAACAATCCCTTCCCCCCCCCCCCCATGTAGTGGCATTGTCTAGTTACAATTTTATTTTCTGCATATAGAATATTTCGAAACAATGCAAACATGACGTCATCTTCATCTACATTCCACCCCTCCATATCCATCATATTACCCCTACCAGCAAACAAGAACCAGTTTGCAAATGACCTGCCTCTCCCCTGTACAGTTTTGCGGATATCACCTTTAGTATAGATATGCAAAGATGTATACTCACAGGTGTGGAGCTAAAGCTGTCTGTGGCACTCTGCAGCAGATGCACCATGACGGTGGGGCCGTGCATCACCACCGACTCGTTGTTGGGCAGCACCAGGCGCCTGTGCCATTCGCCAGTTGTCATGCCGTGGCGGTACTCCTCCTGTGGGTTAGAGTAACGTAGGATAAAGTAATTTTTTTTTGATGGGTGTAAATGGAATCAATAATTCCATTTAAAATTAATGCTTAACTCACAATTTTTTTTTAATTGACTTTAATGGAATGGTAACCCCGCCTGCATTATCGGTATATACTGGCGGGGCACCAGTGAGGGATGATAGTTGAGAATGAAAAGGCAGGTTAGTTAGCCAATTGTAATGAATACACGTGGAATTCGGCACGATGGTTTCCAGGAAGGACCATGTGGAGATCGATTTGACAGGGTATATTGCTAGCAATGGGTCTGGTAGTCTACATTACTGACAATTCCTTCTTCCCTCACTAATATGCTATTACTGTGCATGGTACTGTTCATGTGTATAGGCGACGGTGGCCAATTTCAATCGAGCGATCCGTTTGACTGTGAAATATGGAAACATCTATAATACAATAATTACCTCGAGCTTTTCGGCGACTGCTTCTGTGTAGGGCACATATCTGGGGTCCGTTGTACCCTTGTAGAACCAACTGCACCTGCAATTTATAACAGTACTTTGCAATGTCAAGAAAACATACGTTAGACTAAAAAAGCTTATCATTGTCGAAGCAAATGGTGAAAGACAGAGAGGTGATAATCCGGCTGAACCGACTATACATGCTATAGCTATTTCATCAAAAGTCGTACAAAAGTCGATTGCTTGGGTACCTCTGTCCCATTCGTGTTTCGACCGTGAAGCAGTTGTGTTTGCATGGCTGTGTTTCGGTTTGAAGGATGTGATATGGCGTGAATTTACTGGGTACAGAGGAATAACACCTGAGTCCTCAGGAGTGGCAACGCATGGGGAGGTATCATGGGTGAAACAGTATACTCTGTTATGTCCATGGTACTGCTCATGTCTAGAGGCGACGGTTACCACTTTCCATCAGGTGGGCCGTTAGCTTGTTTGACATTCTAAGTTGTATAAAAAAAAAGACAACATATTTTTAATATTCACATCTCCCCTCTTAATGAGAAAAGATGGCAAACTAACCCCCAGCGCAGGCACAATCGGCCGGAGTACAGAACCTCAGGAGGAGAAACCAGCGTACTATGCTGCCAGTATTTAAAAGCACCGCTTTATACATCTTTCTCGAAACAGAATTGCTTCGGAAACCCAACCGTCTGAGGTATTGTATAAGACTAGTTGGGGTGATTTCGGTGGATATCACCCTTACATTACAGTCACTTTGTTAGCCAAACCATGACACTTCCTCATCTTCTCTGTACCGTCTTGCACGAGGTTCTCGTCATGCGGTACGGTGACATCCACCAAAAACACCTTCGAAAGTGCTCAAACCATCATCACGATATCAGATTTGTCCACAGACATTTATATTGCTAGCTATGAGGCTGTTAATCCCTGTGACTAATAATCCCCCCCCCCCAAGTGTCCTTTAGTGTTAATGATAACTATACATACACTTACCTCCTGACATTTGTCGGTTTGTCCGCCCAATAGACGGCTACCCTGAGCCGACCTATGATGTTCACGTCATAGCGACCACCATCTGTTGGCACCAGGGTATTCTCGTTCAGGTTGGCTGCAATACAAACGGACAAAACACGATAATTATATTTCTATATAATGAAAAACAATAAGGCGCATATGTAGGAAGACCGTGTGGTTCCAGCAGAGAATAGCCTTGTTCCTTTCCAGTGGATGCCGTAAGAGGCGACTAAGGGAACTTAACAGTCGAAGGTTGGGCAGCAGAGTCCCTCTTGAAACATTACCAAAGCTTAACTGTGGTTGCCAGGGAGGAAGGGACGCCCTATCAGGTCGACCTCCACGTGGTTTTCCATGGAAACCATCGTGAACAATTCTTGTTGATTTCGTCACGATGGGCTAACTGACCTGCTTCATCCTCACCTATCATCCTTCACTGGTGCCCCGCCGGTGTATATCGGTGGCGCGGGTGGGGTTATTATTTCATTATCACCCATAAAACTGCGGTTGCCAATCCGCCTGCCAAGCGTGGCTACTACTGACAAAACCCACCCCAATGAATCCATGTTCATCAGTAGACAGTTAATGGCCAATATCATCATCATCATCATCATCAACATCATATGTAGCTACTCTCAGATAAGTCTTAACAGATCACCGATCGTATTCTGGGGTTGCCATCACACAATTATGGGAGGTCCACACTTCCCCTCCCCCTCCTCCTCTGCCTTACATATGTCTATAGAATACTCACGGCTATGAAACGCTTCCTCCAATGCCTTCGAGTCCGCAAAGGAGAATCCTTTCCATGTGGACTTTTTCTCTGTGTCCACACGGTAGAACCAGTGGTGTTTGACTGGGGTGTACTCCGCGCTGGAGCGTTGCTGGAGAATATTTATTTTTACTTTATTATAATTTTGATTTCTTTAATTAATTTTGATGTTTCCTCCCACGAACACTCAGGTTGTGGATTGAGCTCCCTGCCGAGATTTTCCCAAGAGACTACAGCATAGGGTTCTTCAAAAGTGGGGTAAAGAGGTTTCTTCAGGGTCGGCAACGCGCGCGTAATACCTCTGGTATTGCAGGTGTTCATAGGCTACGGTAACCACTTACCATCAGGTGGGCCGTATGCTTGTTTGCCACCTCAGTGGTATAAAAAAAAAATTGGATTTTAATTAGAATTTAATTAAATTGATGAAATTGAAAGTGAACTATTTAATTATTGAAATCTTTGTGAAAATTAAAAAAACGAAATTTGTAGAATCTAATAAAATCTGCGCCAAGAATAATCCGATTATTGACAACATATCTGTGCCTCTGAAATTTTTTAATTTAAATAAAGAAAAAAAAAAATTGATGAAATTGAAAGTGAACTATTTAATTATTGAAATCTTTGTGAAAATTAAAAAAACGACGCCCTCCTCGCTTCTAATTTCTGCGCCCCACAGAGTCTACAATATACTTTATTAATTGTTACCATCTTTCATAATAAGTAGAATGCAATAAATAAATTGAATTAAATTTAAAATATCGCCAAGAATAATCCGATTAAATTGACAACATTTATGGTGCAGTAGTTGGCGCGTTGCTTTGCATTAATGATATCCAGGCCCTTTACACAAGTGGCAAGCGAATTCATCAATGGAATCGACATAGCTAGCGAGTCTGTCAGTTGGAATGAGATATCCGACGTTGCTATCTTTTCCTATCTCACGGATTCGCTAGCGATAGGTTTTTTTTTTTTTAAATGGATGACAATGGAATGGTAACCCCATCCGCGCTATCGATATACACCGGCGGGGCACCAGTGAAAAATGATAGGTGAGGATGAAGCAGGTCAGTTAGCCCATCGTGACGAATTCAACAAGAATTGTTCACGATGGTTTCCAGGGGGAATCACGTGGAGGTCGACCTAATAAGGTATATTGCTAGCAATGGGGCTGTCAAACTCCATTGCTAGCGATGGGTTAGCTTGCCATTTGTCTAGAGGGCGAGATTTCGATTCTCGGTTGGGAATCAGATTTTTCTGATGTGGCTCGGATCTGCGTATTCTGGCTTGTGCCCTCTGACGTTTGTTGCCAGGTTCCTCATAAAACGAAGGTATTCGAGCTTGAGGATAAAGCAAATGTTACTGATTGTAAAACCAATTGTCCGTTTAAATTCTGCGTATTAGTCATATGCCATATGCACTTAGTTAAATCTTATTTTTATTTGTGAAAACTTATAACTGGCTTTATGTATTTACTGTCTTTTTTTTTTATAACGAAATTTCTTATCTGTTAGTTATTCTATAATGTTAAAATAAACAAATGTACATTCAAGTAAGCCTATGGTTTCACCATGTTCTTCATAGATTATTGAATAGTTGTTACATTTGGTCAGCTGTAGATATTGGATGGGTAAAATTACGATGATCACTTTGAGTTTTGGGAAACATACATACTCGTATATTGGGGTCGACTCTGAGGTGCCACTTTTCTATTAAATTTTCAATTTAATATAACAGCGAAATGTATATTTTAAGAACTAGTAATAAATTTAGTTTCTAAAGAAAAAGCTCTTTGAAGAAAAAGTATTACAAATAAATTATATACCTCAGTCATAACAGCAACGTCTTCATTTCGCTCTTCGTTATTTTGAAAAATCACTGTGACGTCTTTGTGACTAGCGCCAGGCTTGTCCTGCTCCATATTACTATCACTTTCTCGTTTAGACTCGGTATTTCCGCTATCCATTGTTTTCCTAACTTTATAACGTTTATCTAATGAAGCCCAATTGTTACAGCAATATTTACAATTCATTACCATCGAAAGAAAACATTCATCATCTGTCATTTCCTCTAATTTACTTTTATTATCATTTTTATTTTCTAGATCGGTGACTTTATTACCTATTTCTTTATCTACAATTTGACTATAGCTTGGTTCGCCTATTTTTAATTCGTTTATATTTACATTACTATATTCCGTTGTGAAATAATTTACTCTCCTGACTATTTGGTCATTTTCAAAGTGTTGAAAGGACGTCAAATCCTTCATTAGATTTATTATGGACTTATCATGTGGAATGTTTTGGATATGTTTCTGATCTAAATTAGATTGACTACTTTGCTGAAAACTATTATTTTCCATTGAACTCGGTTTACTTTCATTTGAAGCATGTCTGTAATGATTTTGACTTTGGCTCAACTCAAAAAAAGACTTGGCTGGATCGGTATTCGTTGGGGTCGTAAAATAACTTGCTAATCTGTTAAAACTGTTATCATTGTCTTCTTGTTTATTAACAGGATTCTCAGGAGTGGAGAAAAAGCTAACCGGATCGGGTAACATTTTTGTCTCGGGTTGCTTCTTTTCTGCTGTTTGTGAAGGTATTTCGGGAAAACTACGTGATGTTTCAGGAATTTCGGTAGACAAAGAAGTGCCACCAAATAATGGCGTATCTAACTTTACATTACTTTCTTCTGTTTTGGGTTCCAACGTTGGCAAATGTTGTTCTTGACTCATTCCGCATACAGTAGAGGGAGGTGGTAATATTTCTGAAGAAAGAATTTCTGAGGAAAGGTTTAATCTTTGACTATCCGCAGATTCTATTTTTTGAAAGTTTTCCGTTTGCTTCACAGCCATATTGTCACCAAAAATAGTAGCTAAAGGAATTAGTTTCTCTGATGCACATGACGATTTGCGCGATTCCTTTTCTTGCGTTACAGGTAGTTCTTCATCAGGCCTGTGAATCGAACTATAAGTTGGTATCTCTGGAGGACGTATTTGTGTGGAAGTATCAGGAATGTACGGTTCGTTCTTAGTGTTTACAAATAAGTTTTCTGAAGAAATGCCACTTAGTCTTCTCTTGTATTCATCCTCAAAACCAGGCGGAATGCGCATAGGTATATTAGGTGAACCCACTTGGAACTGATTATATGGAGAAGAAATCGAATTTCTATAATGAGTTTCTGCAGCGTAGTTTCCAGTATCAAAATAAGAGGCTATTGTAATAACAGGGTTGTTCATAGTAATTAGATCAATTCTCTGTGACTTCTGCGCATCAAATATGTCATCATTTTCCTCAACTGCAGTTTCTTCCATTTTTTTAAATTTCTCTACTCTGTCAGTAAACGAATCTACTTCTGGAACAGGATCGTCTGAGCTTCTTTCTCGTTCTTTATATTCTATTTTATCATCATCAGTTTCCGAGGGATCTATAACAAATTCTTCAAAGAGAGGAAAATCTTTCTTTGCATCCTGTTCTATAGAGTGCACATCTAAACCACCAGTTTCATCGGACTTAAAGTCATTATTCGGTGCGGGAGGTGCTGTTGGTACACTCATTTGTCTGGGTAGCACTACAGGTGTATCTTCATACGAATTTTTGTACTCGGCTTTTATTTCATCACTAGCGTTATTGGGAATATTATCAAAAAATAAAGAATTTCCACCGTAAAAGCCAATTGAATTTGGATCCATTTGGAAAGCGTAATTGTGTTCTATTAAATCTTTCGAAGTAGGCATTGTATTGTCTGTACACCATCCATAGCCTCTGGTAGAAATATTATCCCCAGATTCATTATCTAAAAGTTTTGCCGCCGATTGTACTTGAAGAGCTTCAATGGTTTCTTCAGTTATATTAGATATTTCTACACATTGTTCTGTATCAAAATCAATCCGATCGTCAACTGGAGTATTACTTTCTGTGAATGGAACCTCTACAGGATTCAGAAGTTGTATAGGTGCTATGATGTTTTCTATCATCTGTGAAGTTAAATCATCCGTTTCTTTACCCTCTGGTTTATTAACTTCTCTACATGTTTCGCATATATTAAAGTCAGATACACTATCGTTTTCCTGACTATTACCACGAAGCGGTTTATCTCTACATGTGATGTTTTCACAAGAACTGATACTGGTGTCACGATTAGATACAGTTTCCACGTTTTTCGGTATTTCATTTAAAGACACATTTTTCAAAGCAAACTCGAGCTCCGTAGTTTCTAAAGATTTATCAGAGATATTATTTGTGCTATATTCTACCGGTGCTTCGATTTCAGCATTATCTGTTACATTTTCTTGATTAATTGTCTGATTATTTTGAATTATCGGAAATTGATCTTTATCTTTGTTGTCAATATCAAATCTAAAATTAGAAAATGTATTCTCTGGTATTTGAATATGATTTTTTGCAGACAATAATAATGCTTCTTTTGCTAAGATATCATTTTTCTCTTCAACTTGTTTAGTACTATTATTATATCTTACACTTGTATTTACAGTAGTTTGTATATTTGTAATTTCTAATACATCGTCATTACTATTTTTGCTTGTAGAATCATAACTGAAAAAATTCGCTGGAGGAAGAATATTTTCATCTTTAACTTCAGTTTGAGAAGTTTCTTGTAATGGAGGTTCGACATTTTCTTTTGTTACTGTTTCTTCTGTAACTGGTAATTTATTATCAAAAAATTGGTGTGCTGTCACATTTAATACATTTTCGGGTTTATTCTCATAAACTGTCGAATTAACAGACTGCTGTGAATCAGATGTTTTATATAGCGAACTTTCCTGTGTTGTTGGTGGTATAAAACTGAAAAAGTTTTGAGCAGACAAACTAATATCATTCTTACTCGGATTTTGAGCAATTTCTTGCTCAGGTACATTTGCATTTGGTATGTATTCACTTTTTTCATGTAACGTAACTGAACCGATAGGTTGTTTGTCTATACTTTCAAACGATGTAGTGTTAGTGTCATTAAAATAGGCATTATGCAGATTATCTTTAACAGGTGCTTCTGCCGTATTCACAACAGTTGAAGTATGTGGATCTTTATCATAATTGGTTACATAGTTTTGTTGTAAATTTGTATAATAGTTGGTCTGTTCTTGATTCTGATAATAATTACATGAATCTTGAACTGGATAATACTGCATGTGATCAAAATAATTAGACATATTGTTCTGATAATCGTAATTTTGTGAAGGTATTGGAGGCTGTTCATTAGGTACAAATATTTCAAATTCCTGGTTGTTATAGCCATACGATGCTTGTGCATTAGACTGATGGCCATGAGAAATATTTTCTTGGTTAAATGTTTCTTCTTTTTTAGCCTCATTGTAAGCAGGGTCAAAGAATGTAGTCACAGTATTCTGGATTTTATTTATATCTATAGAACTAAGTTTAGATTTTAAAGAACCAATAATACCAAACCCTTTAGATTCCTGTGGTGGTTCCTGGTATCTTTCTGTGGTTGGTCTACTTAAATCGAATGCTGTATTGTAATCAGATTGCACATTAGCTGGCGCAAATTTTTGTGTATTAGGTACATTAAATTGTGAGTACATAGTATTTTCTTGTTTATTAAGATCAAATGGCACAGTAGCTTGTTCAATATTAGGTGCTACTAATTCTTGTTCGATCGGTGCTAAGCTCGGTTGTTGAGGAACAAACAAATCACCTTGAAAACTACTCGGTTCCACTGTAGGTAGCAGGGGTTTAATATTATTACTTATTGAACCAACTCCTTCAATTGGACCGGCGTAATATTGAGGCCGTTTCTTATTTAATCTATAATTGATATTGCCACTTGCTTTTGGTGGTTCAGCAATCGATTTATGGATATCTGCCACCGGAGGCGGGATAATATGTTTAACATTTTCTTGATTACTTTGTATTAAATCATTTTCAGCAGTTTTCACAGTGCTAGGATTAAAGAAAGATGGAGCTACTGGAACGTTTTGCGCAAAAGATGAAGGCTGTAAAATATTATCTTGAGTATTCAATGGAATTGATTTTATCAAATTTGTAGTGTTCTGATCCAATGCTAATACATTATTAGATGCAGAATTTTGACAAATATTTGTAGTGGTGGATTCCGTTGTTGGAGTAGAGGACTGTAAGAGGTCCTCACCAGGGTAACTAGGAGTTGTACTTGCTGGTAGTGGTACTTCAGCACTTGAAGATAATGTTTTTTGGGGATTAAATGCAGAAGTCGGTGTAAATACATTTATAGGTGGTAATGAATTTGATGGTCCTGGGTTGAAAAAAATTGTAGATGACGGTGGTAAATTTACTACATCAGCAGAGTTCTCTTGAATAAAACTAGATCGATGAATAGATGTGGTACTATTTAACACATTCGTTGGCGGAGCTGTTATATTCCAAGTCGATGATTGTAAATTAAAACTGTCACTTGGTACATTAGGTGCTGATGCTGAAGAAATTGCCAGTGATTGTGAATCGCTTTGATTCTGAAGAACAGCTGACGCTTGTGTTACAGCTGGAGCAACTAAAGGAGTTGCAGGTACATTACAAATTGTCGGTTGCGATTTTGTTACAAGCGTCGGTGTGAATACAGTCGAAACTATATTTTGAGACTGACTGTGTCCAGAATTAAATAAATTCTGCAAATTATCTGTAGTCGAAGGATCTAAATTGGGCACAAATATATTTGATGCGAAAACCGGAGCTTGTGACATTGTAGGTTTAATTATTGGATGATTTGCAGATATCCGCCTTGCAACTGATGGTGGTAAGACTGATTTTCCTACTGTATTATTATCTTTCCTAGGTGCATTAGAGAACATAGGAGGAGGCGGAATTATAGGTGGAGTTGGTTGAGCGATCGCTGCAGTTTGAGCGTCTTGTCCATAAAACGGTACAGTTTGATTAGATGGATATTCTATAGTTCCAAAATTTTCGTCACCTTTATTAGCATATAAATTAGGTTCATTATAGTTTACTACTGAATGGACTGTAGCGGTTCCTTCGTTATTTGTTTCAGTATGTACAGGATTGAATAAATTAACTTCCTTTGGTCTAATTGGATCGGTTTCCAATCCCGAACCTTCATTTAATACATTAGTTGAAGTAGGTGGAGTGAAGAATGGCGGTATACTAGAATGGTTCATAGGGGGATGCAAAGGTAAATTTTGAGTATTTTCACGAGAACTTAATCCTGGTATTTGAGCGTATGCCTTCTTCTTTGTTGTGATGCGGTAATTTGTAGTACCTGTAATAAAAAAAATTACAATGAATATAGAATATAATGTGAAAAACTCAATTAAGATTTACAAAATTTATTCTACAGCTTGTAAAACGAACTGTCCTCAAAGGAATTGTTTAATATGGTTCCCACAGCTACTTTTTACTATCATACAATTCGCCATCGACAGGGAGTTAACCCCTATACCTTAGAGCCTACATGGTCGCGTACAGCGCGGTTTTAGAGATGTTTCTTCCCATGAAGGCTCCGGGAGCTATGTCTGTCGAAGATTTTCCGAGAGATTACAGTATGGAGTTTTTCAAAAAAAGAGGTAAAGAAATTTCTTCAGAGACGGCAATGCGCGCGAAACGCACCTGGTATTACAGGCGTTTATAGGCTACTGTAAATGGTTACCGTCAAGTGGGCCATATGCTTGTTTGCCACCTCAGTGAAATAAAAGAAAGTCAAATTGTTCCCCGTTTGAAAAAGGTGTCATGAAAACGTGAAAAGGTTATTAAACCTAAATTATAATTAATCAATACGGATTACAAGTGTCAATCAATATAATCCATTAAATTGACCTAAAATACAATTAACGTCGCTTTTTTATTTGCCAAACGTGCCAGTTGAAAACAAAATATGTTGGTAAATGCGCGATTCCGTATTCTACACGTATTTTCAAGTATTTTCAGCAGTGTCGACCAAATACAGCCTGATTTATTGCTGAGAAAGTAGCTTTTTCTACGCAGCAAAAAGTACTTTTTTTTTTTTTTTGTAATAATGAATACATTTCTATTTTACGGCTATAGTCCCGGTATAGGATAGACCACCCCTTCTCTTCTCGTGGGTAACATAAGATACGACTAAGGGAGGGAGATGGATGGGCAGCAGCGTCCCTCTTAAACCGTCTCCAAAGCCTAACTGCAGTTGCCAACCCGCCTGCCAAGCGTGGCAACTACTGGCAAAACCTCCCAAGGCCTATATTCAGCAGTGAACAGATAAAGGCTATTTCTATTTCAATACAGAAATAGGTAAATCAGAGGTACAGGTTTTTTTAGAAACTAATAACGTACAGTATTTCTCCAAATTTTTTATAGTTTTAGATAAACAGTTAATCTAAAACAATTTTCAATTTTTTACCAAATAATTACATTTCTGTTTTGCCAAAGATTGACTGGTATAGAATGCTATATAGCATTAAGTCCACATAAAAATTTGTACCAGACATTTTTTATAATGTGGTCAATAAATAAAAAAAAAAAAAGCGCTAACAGCCCATTTCATGGTAAAAAAGGTAACCATACAGCCCAGAACAGCACCGCGGACGTCATAGAATACACTAGTATGGCCCATGGTATCCCTCATGTAACCTCAATCTAAAGTGTTATGCCTCCATACCCTGTATTTTCACTGTCACATCCTACCGTTCGAACCGAGACAACCATGCAAGCATAACCGCTGATGGGAGAAACTCGACTGAGATTGGGAGAGAGGTAATCAAGAACATGATTTTGGTACAAAGTCTCCATCTGGTGGCACAAAACGGCAAACTACATAATTGCTAATCAATTCAACAATCAATTAAGTAGTCTTGTACAATTTTCTAATAAGTATTCCAGTACAACTTTCGCGCTGTTGCAATTAGCCAAGTATTTCTCGATGCAAAAACCCGGCTAACAGGGGGCGCTGTCAATCTAATGTGGCAACTGCGACACTAAGTTATTAAGGAGTTTCATAGATTAAGAATGGCGCGTACTGTCCCGATATACAATATATATAGTACGCACTGTGACAGTAATAGTTAGAAAGAGATATTATAAGCAAAACACGGAAGTGTGAGCAAGATCGAAAATATTTTGTCATTTACCAAAAATACAACAGCTTAGAAATAGGGTTCTTGTAATATAAAATAAATAAATAATTTTGTCTTGCTCTGCTTACGCCTTTTTGTGGGCAAAATAATTACATTACCCGTAAAAATTTATTATATTAGTATAAAAAAAATACACGTTCTTATATGTATGTATTATGTCGCCAATATTACACTATAATATTGCCACCTATTATATATGTGCTTTTTTAACACTGCAGAGGGCGCCACTATTAAGTTTCTGCCTCGATTAAAAATAATCTTAGATCCGGAACTACTTTATCGATACAATACAATAAGGAGAGTAATTTGTATGCATTTTATTGAAAAATATTTACGCATACAAATAACTCTGCCAATACAATAAGAGAGTATCTTGTATGCAATTTATTGAAAAACATTTACGCATACAAATAACTCTTCTAATACAATAAGAGAGTATGTTGCAATATGAAAAATTTATTGCATACAAATAACTTTGCTAATACAATAAGAGAGTATGTTGTATTCAATTTATTGGAAAATATTTACGCATACAAATAACTCTGCTAATACAATAAGAGAGTATCTTGTATGCAATTTATTGGAAAATATTTACGCGTACAAATAACTCTTCTAATACAATAAGAGAGTATGTTGTATGCAATTTATTGGAAAATATTTACGCATACAAATAACTCTGCTAATACAATAAGAGAGTATGTTGTATGCAATTTATTGAAAAACATTTACGCATACAAATAACTCTTCTAATACAATAAGAGAGTATGTTGTATGCAATTTATTGGAAAATATTTACGCATACAAATAACTCTGCTAATACAATAAGAGAGTATCTTGTATGCATTTTATTGAAAAATATTTACGCATACAAATAACTCTTCTAATACAATAAGAGAGTATGTTGTATGCAATTTATTGAAAAATATTTACGCATACAAATAACTCTGCTAATACAATAAGAGAGTATGTTGTATGCAATTTATTGGAAAATATTTACGCGTACAAACAACCCTCCTAATACAATAGGAGAGTATGTTACATGCAATTTATTGGTAAATATTTACGCTTCCTTTCATAACTTCTTATGGACTTGATCAATTGCAATTAAATTTGGTATATATGTACTATATGAGATGTAGAAAAACATTTTTAGGTCAGTGACCATATTCCAGTTACGGGAACGACGTCGCTAAAGTCATTAGTCAAAACTAATAATAAATAAATGGCTTTACAAGCCTTTCATTTATTTGTTCCTATTGATAAATAATACAGAAAAATACGTTTTTTTTAACGACAGATTCTTTGATAATTGTATTTGATTACTAGGGATCCGCAGCTAAAGAAACGGTTACGAAACGCTGTACTCAATGGTCCTGTATAGAAAGGAAAAATCTAGACAAGTCGTAGACACATCTAGATTTCTAACTGTAAAGAATTAGTCGTTTTAACTCGAACAAGTAGTTAGGACAGAAAATGCAATTCAGACAAAGTATGTTCCACAAAAAAAACCGACTTTAATTGTGATAAAGTTAATTACTTGGGTACCTCTGTCCCATTCGTGTTTCTACCGTGAAGCAGTTGTGTTTACATGGCTGTGTTTCGGTTTGAAGGGTGGGATATGGCGTGAATTTACAGGGTACAGAGGAATAACACCTAAATCCTCAGGAATGGCAACGCATGGGGGTATCATGGGCGAAAGAGTATACTCTGTAATGTGCATGGTACTGCTCATGTCTATAGGCAACGGTTACCATTTTCCATCAGGTGGGCCGTCAGCTTGTTTGCCAGTCTAAGTAGTATAAAAAAATCCTAATTTATTAATATTAAATGTTTTTTAAAAATGTTTCCCTTCTCCTTCGGTTCCTATCACATGCCATCAATAGGTGCTGCACATCTTTAACTTTTCCAAAGACAATACAATTTGGTGGGGGGAAAGGGATTGTTAGTAATGGAGACTGAGAATCCCATCGCTAGCAATATACCCAACCAGGTCGACCTCCTCGCGGTTCCCTCTGGAAACTATCATGGTGAATTCCTGATGAATTCATCATGATGGGCTAACTGGCCTGTTTTCATTCTCATCTATCACCCTTCACTGGTGCTCCGCCAGCGTATCCCGTTAGCGCAGGCGGGGTTACCATACCATTTTCACCCATCAAAAAAAAATATACAATTTGGTGAATCTATTCGTATTAGAGGTATATGTAAATGTTACATTCGTAGTGCGCCTAATTCGCCTTACAACTTGGTTTCATTTTCGACGTTATTGGCACGTATTTACCTTTTTTTTTATTTATTTATTATGATAACGTACCGAGCGCAGTGCTGAGGGCCTACCATGAAATATTTTCCGAAATTTCGGAGACGAACGAAACAGAATTTTGATGTTAAAATTATATAATACATGCCGTTTAAAATTATTAAAAATGTTAAAATATCGTTCCCCTGAACTATTAGGATAGGATTTATGATGAACGAAATGTTAAGCTCCATTTACTGGATCGATATCGGTACGAACAAAAACACGAAATTGAGCGCGAAAATTCGGAATTTCATTTCATGGTGGACCACCTGACCTCTCACGAGTGTAATGACCAATGTCGTAACATTACCATAATTGTGTACAAATTACACCGATTACTCGCAGTTATGTCCGTCCGCCCGTCCGTCTGTGCGTTGATGGTGTACGGACACGCAGGTGATAAGTGTGATGACATGACGGGTGCGCAAGAGTTTCGGAACTCGCGATTTTGGCAGCAATACACACTTGCACTGATATCATTTCGGTTTATTATGTTTTTTTTTTTAATTAATTTCCCCGTATGCATTGCTCGGACATTACTCTTACCTTGTTTATTACTTTTTTTGTAATTTTCAGTAAATGCATTGCACATATTACAGTGTAATCATATTTTTTTTATTTTATTTTTTTTTAAGTAACTTAGAATTGCAAACAAGCCCACCTGATGGAAAGTGGTAACCGTCGCCTATAGACATGAGCAGTACCATGGACATAACAGAGTATACTGTTTCGCAAATGACACGTCCCATGCGTTGTCATTTCTGAGGATTAAGGTGTTATACTTGCCTCTCTTGCTCTCTCTCTATTTCTCTATTATCTAATTACGTTGGCAATAACAATTTTAAAGTTTTTTTTTCTATTGATAATTAATGTACTCTTTTTGTTGTTGGCAATAAATATTTTCTTGCTTTCTTCTTTTTCTTTATGTGATTGAATTTACAATAAAACATCATAATTATAAAAGAGCATCGACTGTAGGCGGCGTGTGGTCCCGGCATAAAATACGCCACTCCCTCCTTTCCCTGGATGGAAATGAAGGGGTGGTCCATTCTATGCCGGGACCACACGGCACTTTTTAAATAATCCATCATAAATATTGAAAATTATTAAATTGTTCTTGATGTCACTTCCGTCAAGGCAAAATTATGAACTCTAAAAAAACAGCCAAAACAATTTTAAAAAAGACGGAAGTTCGTGGCATTTGCATCGCGGTGCTAGATCGATAATTACTTGTGACCTTATGCTAAGGGCATAGAGGTCACACTGCCGTGAGAACCTTATGAACTACAGGGCTGCGCGGTCAACGTCACGCCACGAGTGTTGGTAAATGGTCATACACAGCTGTTTTACACTAGCTTTTAATCGCGACTTTGTCCATATGACCGGGATATGTATCCATACCATATAATAGGTGTGTACTTATCATGTAAGTTGTTTAAACCGTTAAGACGTTAATAAGTAACAAACAAACATACTTTCACATTTGTAAGAGCATAGTATTATCTGTGGCTATAGTAAGGATATAGCCCGAAGAATAAGCAAGCTGAAGTGGCAATGGACTGGTCACATAGCTTGAAGAATCGATAACCGAACGATCGTCAATAGATGAAACGTTCTTGAGTGGCGACCTCGTACGGGTAAACGCAGTGTAGGAAGACCCCCCCACCCACTAGTTGGAGTGAGGACCTCAAATGCATTGCAGGGAGTTAATAAATGCAGGTGGTTCAGGACCGTTCCTCGTGGCAGTCTATGGGAGAGACCTATGTCCAGCAGTGGGCAAATAATGGCTGAGATGATGACGAACAGTAAGAATTAGTAGTGTCCAATCGAGACATGGATTTCACAATCAAAAATCAATATCGGTTACTGTTTCAGTTAATTAAAGGATTTGAAATTACTTTCGGCCTATTTTTTTAATACTTTCTATTAATTTTAATTATTTTAATGTTGAAATAGTTAAAATACATATGTACATATGTATATTATGAAATAGTTAATAAATTTAACAACAATTTTCATCTATCGGCCCACCTGATGGAATGTGCTAACTGTCGCGTATAAAGATAAACAGCATCTTGGACATGACACCCATAATGCGTCGTCATCATTAAAAATTTAGGTGTTATTTCTCCGTAATCAGTCATCTCCTTGCTATATTTCACACTTCAAACCAAAATACAACCATGCAAGAACACCAGATTGGCAGGATATAGAGGATAAGAGACAGAAGTACCTCATTCAGACGACATTTGTATAAAGTCTCCTTAAAAAAATTGATTCAAATTATTATAGCTACAAAATACATTATAATACTTACCAGAAATAGGAGGCTCCTTCGGCGGCGGAGCTACCTCTTTCACTCTCTCATCCACACCCATTAAAGGCACACCGATATCTTCGGGTCTTTGAAACTGTACCTCCTGATATCCTGAATCCGGCTTTACCTCATCAGGAGTCTGTTCTCGACTTTTCATACTCAACATGTTGGAAAACGAGCTAAAAACAGCGCTTGCCATTTGAGGCAAAACCGTTGGTAGCTGTGAAAAATTCTGCGCTATATCAGCTGTCAAGCTCTGCTGAATATCCGCATTCTGCACTTTCTCTGGTTCATTCAAATTGATCTCTTCCAGATTCTCTTCGGTCGCTTCCAAATTTGCATTCTTGTCTTCTTTGAGAAGACTGTTCAATGGGGCGCTTACATATCTACTTCCTTGTAATCTCGCGAAATATTCATTTACGTCAAAGTCATCTTCGGATTTTTGTGAAGCTTTTGATAAACTCGGCATAGCCGAGCTACCTTTATATTTATCATTTTGCTTACTGTCTAGTGTGTTTGGATTGATTGTTGGCGGTAATGTTGGAAATATTGTATTGGAGTTTGCGTCCCCAGATGGGAGATTTGTGACGCCGTATTCGTTGTGCGCCAGGGTACCAACTTGAGGCCCGGTTTGTTGATCTGAAACAATTAAAATAATTTGTATTATTTGATGTTAAAATACATAAAATTTCTTTGATAATTCATATTTGAACGTGTGCTTTCAATATTTTATTTTGCATAACTACCAACTTACAGTGTTTATACTATTATAATGTTGTTACTCTAAGTTTAGTTGATTGCATGTATTATCAGCGATGTCTTGTGTATTTAGATAAATCTTGTTATTATTTACGAAAATCTGTAATTGTATTTTTATTGTTTTTTTTTTTTTTTATTAGGAAACTTATTAGCTGTTGATTTTAACAAAAAAATACAGTAAAAAAAACATAGGTACACCATAATAAGGTGTATACTATAACATGGTATTTACGTTTTTTTGTAATAACGCTTAGAGAAATGGACACCATCTTTTACCTATTTATATTTTATTATGCCCAAAGATTACTATATATTGTTATAATCTATTTTGAGTAAAGATGTACAACAACATCATCATTATGATCATCATCATCCCCCCTCTTTATTCTATTTAATTGGGATCCACGTAATATGATTTTAATTATATTACACAAGGTTTTGGTTTTTGGTTTCACGACCTTTCCTGCCTTATATCAACCCTCCTCGGTAATCGAACTATTGGTGGTATCCACCACATATGGACACTAGGACATGAACATTATCGCATCTGTACATATTGCAGATACAAGTATATTATGCAATGCACAGCTGCGTTAAAGCATCATGCCTTTGCATTCAATATGTTTGACTTTACACAAGTAATAACTGCTGACTTTTCAATTGAAATTCTGAACAGTTCTAAGGACCCCACGCATGTCTTATCCTGCGAGAACTATAATTTTTAATTTAAATTCTTGACAGTTCTAAGTACAACTTTTGTAGGGGAATACAAATCTTGAGTTTTTTGTATATCAATGCAGTATATATGAGTATTTGTGCATACATATCAATCACGCCTGTCATTCATTGGAGTAGGCAGAAACTATCTATAAAAAGATCATACTATAAAATATTGAAAATAAAACAAAACTAATAAATATCGAAGCATTTGACGTTCTATGGAACGTCTTCATACACGCATCAATCTTTTCATACACGCTCGCCGATTGCGGGTACTTTTAATTTACCCCTTCTTCAACACGTAACCTATCGATGGTCGACGTACATCCGACTAGGGCGACCCCTACCGACATCTCCATTTATTAGTTTATAGCTAATGATAAAAAACTACGGCATAGAATAAACCACCACTTTCTTTCCCTTGAAAGTCATAAGAGGCGACTAAGGGAATTTAATGTTCGAGGAATTGGCATCAGCGTTCAGTTTAAAACATCATCAAAACCTAATTGCGGTTGCCAATCCATCTACCAAATTTGGCAACTACTAGGAAAACTCCCTTTAGAGAGAGGTAAATGTCCAACAGTGGACAGGTAGCTAACGGCTGTATCATCATGATAATCATCAATGATAAAAACAAGTTCAACAAAATATCGGTTGAAAAGAAAAAAATTTAAGTCCAATTTACGAGTATATATCTTGACCATCTTCGTGAAGCGTTTTATGCAACTGCATTACTTAACTTGCATCAGCATGGTAACGTTACATCATTGAGTAATATAGCTCTTATTGCTTGAACACTTAAAGTTAAATTTCTTCAAATTAATAACATAGTAATTTGCGAATGCCAAACGGACAAGTGCTTCTCGAAATTCGCGATCTGCGTTCCGTACATAATACAAAAATAATATACCCGTTGTTGTATCAGCCGTCGACTGTCCACTGCTGAACATAGCCTCCCCCGTAAGGGGGATTTTGCCAGTAGCTGCCACGTTTGACAGGCGGGTTGCCAACTACTGTTTGTCTTTTGGTGACGTTTTAATAAGGACGCTGCTGTCCATTCTTCCACTATAAGCTTTCTTACTCGCTTCTTACAACACCCACGGTAAAGGCCCTTCCTTTTTTTTCCCGGTCTATTCTATGCCGGAACCTACATGACTAAATAATAAATATACAAGTGTAAAATTACCTTGTACATAATAATCACCAGAGGGAGACTTTGTACAAAAGTCGATTTTGCTTGGGTACCTCTGTCCCATTCGTGTTTTAACCGTGAAGCAGTTGTGTTTGCATGGCTGTGTTTCGGTTTGAAGGGTGGAATATGGCGTGAATTTACTGGGTACAAAGGAATAACACCCGAGTCCTCAGGAATGGCAACGCATGGGGGGTATCATGGGCGAAACAGTATACTCTGTTATGTTCATAGTACTGCACATGTCTATAGGTGACGGTTAGCGCTTTACATCAAGTGGATACCGGTCAGCTTGTTAATCATTCTAAGTTGGATAAAAAAAAAATACACGAGAGAATCATATTGAATGCGTCAAGACAAAATTATTATGAGACCGTAACAGAAAAGAACTATTTGAAATTAAAGGAAAATAATTAACAAAGCCAGTTCGGAACTGGCACAAAGCTTCTATTTTTTTAACTTGCTACTACTTGTCTGAAACCACAGACCATATAAACAGCTTATATCTTTTGAACTTGCTAATACTGACACCAATTTGTCTCAAGTGCAGTACTTCACGTGTTCTGAGAATAATTAATTTAGAAAAATAAGTTTCCTATATTGGCCCTACGGGAAATGGGACCCAGGATGTCATTTATACAACGCGACGTGCCATTACCACTGTGTCGCGGAGGACGGACGAAAAAAAGTATTTTTTCTTAATTGAGAAAAGACCTAAGAGTCCTAAAGTCCCAAAGAGGGTTGACATCAGGCAGGTGGCCGGTCGTAAAATTAAAAACCAAATCTTTTTGTAATATGGATAAAAACATTACGCCGACCCCATATAATAATTGGGATACGGGTAGGAAGATGATGATGATGAGAAAAGACCTAATTATAAAAAAAAAATGCTATCTTCTAAGATTCTCAATCGGAAGTACTTTACAAAGCACAACCTTTGTTTGTGGAAGAAATTAGTGCCTTTTTATATATACAACTTAGAATGGCAAACAAGCTGACGGCCCACCTGATGGAAAGTGGTAACCGTCGTCTAAAGACATAAGCAGTACCATGGACATAACAGAGTATACTGTTTCGCCCATGATACCGCCCATGCGTTGCCATTCCTGAGGATTGGCTTAGGGATGATACTTTTTTTTTAATTAAGTATTTTACCTTTTTATGGGACTAACAGATACCATAGAAGGTACTTCATATAACTTGGAGCACGAAGAACTACAACTGCGTTTAGAGATCTTAACAGAAATAGGATCTTAGCAGATAAACTGACATAGGTAATAAAGCGTTCCTACAAGTCTTCCGTTTTACCTTTAGAGGTACGGAACCTTAAAATTGTGTAGTTTAACAAATAGAGTATTGGAGTGCCTGTATTATTGCAAGACAGGTCATAAATTACTTGTTTTTTTTAAAGGGAAAGATAAGAGTAATTTGGTTAAGGCGTGGTAAGGTGGCAGTAATGGTGTTTTGGGGTTCTGTAACTGCATGACGACCTGTATGGCTGTTTGGTGTGTTTAAACTGTCTACAATTGGATAGGCCATCTTTGTTATGCACGTAGTTCTCTGATGTCTTACCGACAACAGTTTTAGTGTTCTGCCGAGAACACTATAACTTAGAGTTTAAGCACTATATCTAATACATAAAATTATCGTGTCGCGGTGTTTGTTACCAAACTCCTCCGAAACGGCTTTACCGATTTTTATGAAATTTTGTGTGCATATCGGGTAGGTCTGAGAATCGGCCAATATCTATTTTTATTACCCCTCATTGATAAAGGTGACCCACGGCAATTTTATTATTTTTTGACGCTTTTTTAAATTTTTATTTTATTATGACTTAGCATTGAAAAATACATACAAATTCAAATTTTCACGCTTTTACGATCAACCCCTGTTTTTAATCGCGATTTTTATATGCCGCAATAGGGTTGCAAGATGGCAATCGAATATAATAATTGTAGTAGGATAAATTTTCATGTATAGTTCTCGAAATAATGTATATGGTAAAACAACGTTTGCCGGGTCAGCTAGTATATATATATATCATTTGTAAAATACTTTAGCGATAAGACTGCCTTTATATGTGTAATATATATGTAATATATATATATATATATATATATATATATATATATATATATATATATATATATATATAATTTGTATCATTTTATAAGTGGTATAATAAAAAGTAAATAAATAAATATGTACTAGCGTACTAGTATAATATATAGAACCCCCATAACAAATACCGGATTCTTTCTTAGCTGACTTTATTCGCTTAGTGACTAATTTGTCGGCCCTACCTTATTGTGCAATGGCGAATACCAACCTTAGAATATTGAAAATACTATTTATGGGCAACATACAACAATGTTTGTACTAGCTATCAATATGTTTGGTTAACCGACAGACCTACAGACCGCCTAACATTAGAAAACCAACCCCACCCTTCCTAAGATTTGTGGTAGTGTGTACATAACTGACTTACACATGCGTCAGGGGGGAAAGGGATTGTTAGTAATGGAGACTGGGAATCCCATTGCTAGCAATATACCCAACCAGGTCGATCTCCTCGCGGTTCCCCCTGGAAACTATCCTGCTTAATTCCTGATGAATTCATCATGGTGGGCTAACTGGCCTGTTTTCATTCTCATCTATCACCCTTCACTGGTGCTCCGCCAGCGTATCCCGTTAGCGCAGGCGGGGTTACCATACCATTTTCATTAATAAAAAAAAAAAAAGCATACGTCTATCTGTGATTGGGATGAACAGAAATAATAGGAACTAAAGTATGCGTTATATTTAAAATCCCTTTGGAATCAACTTTCAGCAGCAGTATTTCCGTATCGATACGACATCGTAACCTTCAAGAAAAGAGCATATTCCTTTTTAAAAGGCCGCCAGCACACCTACAATGACTCTAGTGTTGCGGGTGATCGTGGGCGGCGGTAGTCACTTACCATCAGGTGAG